AAAAAAAAAAATATATATATATATATTATATATATATTATATATATAAATATATATATATATATAGAAGCAATGAATAAGATGAAAGAAAAAACACGATATTTTGTCGAGAACTTAAGATACTGAATCAGGTATACGATTTCCAACTGTTTCTACATATGCTACAAAATTTTACAAATCCAGATCCTCCTATAGCTGTCTCATCTTTGTACTCTACCTAGTTATGCGAATCTAAGTAACTTCATATTTGTCAGGTATACAATTGCGTAAAAATTTACAATTATTACTTAGTCCAGCAATGTATAAAAAAGTATAATACATCAGTCTGGCCACTTGCTGACCAAAATACTTATCGATCTATACTGTTATCTAACGCCTTATTTTTTCTTCCTTTTTTCTCTTCCTTTCTTTCTATTTGCTTACTTGTATTTACTCACAAATCAATTATACATATTATTAAAATTGTTCGAAAAATCATACATATTTGTATCTACTTCGCATATTAACAAAAAAAAATATATATACTACGAGTCATCAAATTCTACAATTGTGATGAATGTAATTGTCATTGATCGCTATCAGTAGAAAATATTTGAAATAATTTTTCAAAAATATTTCTTTGTTTCAAAACACTGAAAAAATTTTAGACATTAAATATTATTAAATTAGATGAAATAATATAAAAAAAACCAAATAATGTATAAATGAATATATATGGAAATATTATTTATTTCTAAAGGACTTACGTATTATCGATCTAGGGAATTATCTAGAAGTGAAGATTTTTAATGTAAAAATTATGATCATGATTGTTACATAATAGCAATCGAGCATTAGTAGAAAAATAGAAAAAGATGTGACTTATAAAATAAATTCTTTAGATCATAGGACTTCTCGACAATTCCCTTAATAATCATTATTATAATACAAAAGTCATTTAATCCTATAATTATTTAACCCTAATATTCCATTGAAAATCTGTTTTCACTTATTTATAAACTTATTTTATAAATAAATGAAAACATTTATATAAAATAGAATGTCAGGGTTATTAATGATCTTAAGAAAAATTATACAAAAATAAAATAAGTTAAATAGATAGAGGATTTTTTATGTATCAAATATTTTCTCTCTGAAGCGTTATATTTGTCGATTTATCTATAACTATAGATACGTATAAAATTGGTAATTTATAATTAGATGATAAATCTAAACTTAATCAATTTTAAGAAATGAGCTGTTTCCTGCACCAGCTCGTACAAGAAGAGGTGTTTTTCTTCGTGAAGTAGTCACAGGTTGATACACATAATTTCCTTGTATTGCACCGGTTAACGTTTTTTGTCTTTTCGTACCGGAATTAAGCTCATATTCAAATGGTTCTTGTTTTGAAATATTTAAATGCATGTGTAATGCTTCTTTATTGTCCTCGATATCTATTTCATCATATAAATGCTCATGAATGTCTATATCACAATCCTGACTGCTTTCATCATAACTATCTGTCACTGAATTCGCAGTTATGTGACCGTGAATAGATTCTTCATATGTTGTGCTTTCTTCAACTGCTTCATCACCTGAACTTTCTGTTTCTTCAGATACATCACCACTGCCTGCATATTTCATTTCACCTCTTTCAAGCAATTCCAAATGGTCTGGATATATCATTGCTTTTTTAATAGCTAAAGGATCCTTTCTGGACCATTTTTGTACTTCTTCATCCATCTTTGCTACTTTTGCTGGATTAATAGCCCATAAGCATCCTTTTCTCTGATTTCCATTTCCAGCAGGCTTTTCGATTTTTTCAAAGCACTTGTTTAATGATAAATTGTGTCTAACTGAATTTTTCCAACCATTTGGTGCAGTCTTGAAATATGGAAAATGCTCGCTGAAATAAAATATAGACTAAATTATTATAAATATATAAATAATTTTGTAATATCTTTAAAAACATTTTTAAATGATTTTATTATTATATTTTATTATTAATATTAGAAATGGAATAAATATTTAAATAAAAATTGTTAACATCAAAGTATTATTATAGCAATAATATAATACACGAATTAGAAGAAGGAAGAATAAAAACTTGCTAAACAAGGAACAAAATTTACATTTTCTATGGGGACTGTACCCTAGCACGCACCTGGTGCTCCAGGGGCCCCATACAAAATGGCAGCTTTCCCCTTGTGTAACCTGGGAATAAAGAAGGGAGGACAATTCTTTTTCCCCTCGTGGGTTAAGCACCAGAGGGGTTTCAACCAGCCCTTATCCTTCCGGCCAAATGGTCGAAAATAAGCGGCTGGCGACACATCGTTTGTTACATAAAAATTTATTCTATTATATTTTACAAAAAAAATGTTAATGCTTGAATTTTATCAAACCAGTTTCCTTCTCTTTTTATAAATTTCTCTCCGTTAAATTAATTTATTTTATTGAGTAAAATTTATATTTTATATTATTTCTTTTAACATATAAGTAATTTATATTTATAATTTCGAATCTGTTTTCATTTTTTATAAAAAAATATTCAATATTTGAATATTATGTTCCAATTTTAACTTACCACATAAAATTATAAATTTCCGAAACCGGTAGAGAGCCTGTCTGACTATTTTTTAATGCCATTGCAATCAGACAAGAATAAGAGTAAGCCGGTTTAGGATAGGGTTTGTCATCATAGTCTGATAGATCGAATTCTTTCTCTCTTTTCACTGTACTGATAGTAGTAGATCCTGGATTGATGTGTACATTGTTATTGTAGATCTGCTTTCGCACATGTTGAGGCATCTGGTTGGAACTCTGTAATACTTTGAAGTTCTGAATCCTGATGCCAGACATACCGTTTATTTTCGGGGTGGTCTGTGCTTTCGTGTATTGTGGGGATGTCATTTTAGTAGCTGATATTGAGATCGTTTTCGATTTGGACGGTGTCACCGATTTCGAGACTTCCTGCTCATCCTCGGAATCTTCTTCGGTTTCTGTGATATCGTTTTCATATTGTTCTGTCTCGGTATCATTTTCGATTTCGTTTTCTTGTTCATTTTCATTTTCATTTTCATTTTCGTTTTCATTTTCATTTTCAATTTCATTCTCATTTTCGTTCTCATTCTCATTCTCATTTTCATTCTCATTCTCATTCTCATTCTCATTCTCATTCTCATTTTCATTCTCATTTTCATTCTCATTCTCATTTTCATTTTCATTCTCATTTTCGTTCTCGTTTTCTGTATAATTCCTACCTTCATTCTCTATCTCTTCTTCGATATCAATTTTCTCTTTTAAGTCTTTTTTCGGTGAAAATGAAAAGTGTCGTCTGTTATTATTTGGAGTAGGACTTCGAAGTGCCATGTGCGGCATCACCGAGTTAGGATTTACCATAATGGAGGCTGCATCGCTTCCACTAAGGTCAAGATTGA